CCAGATAAAATCAACTTATTACTAAGCTAATTTTTTTAAACGGACGAGAATTAGACCTTATTTTTGATTATGGCTCTAATGAAACCTTCTACATATGTTTTTTTTTACTTTATTATGATTGGTTTTTTAAAAAGTATTCTAAACTGTATAAATAATGTAAAATTAAATTGAATTTATTAGCCAATCAGACGAATTTCTGCCTGACTTTTAACTTATTAAATAACCTAAATCATTTAAGCTTCAAATACCCCAATGACTAGTTACTTTCATTTAAATCGTTTGGATCATCTTAAATTATTTACCATCCCGACGCTAAAAAAAAACCCGAACTTCAATATCGTAATATAAATTTTATATGATTGACCTCTAGTTTTCTTTAGTATCACCCAAATCACCTAACAGTCAAGCGATTTCTTTTTTTTTTTTTTGGATTTACAAAATATACAAAATTTGAAAACCACAATAAATCTATAAAGGTAACAAATTTTCAAAAACAAAAACACCCGTTTAAAAAATGAAATATGATAGTAACCCGAACCAACCATGATAGTTGCATAATAAACTCGCATCAGTTGAGTTGTTTAGTGTAAAGAAATTAATTTATCATTGTTTGCAAAAAATGACGTATGTTTGATCAAATTTTGCAATCACTTGATTATCGTTCGATTGTATGATTGTGAAATGATTTTCTTCAAAAATTCGATACAAATAAAATATTTTTGACTTTCAATGTTCATATCCTCAAAATATCTCGCAATCGGGCAACAATCGGGTGAGCAAAAATACATCATTTTACAAACAGCTATAATTGGTGTATTAAAAGTAAGCTACGTTGGTATTTTTAATATTCTATAAATTTTCCGAATGGTGCTAGGATGTTATATCTTAATAGAATCGAGATACTGTAGCAATATTTACAAAAAGTCATAAGAAAAAAGGGGTAAAAAGTAAAATTCATATTGAATTTCGTCATTTACAATATGAGTTTCGACGAGTTTATATTATATTGAAAAATAGAAAGGCCTAGTCTATTTTATGCTGGAAATTTACTGAAGAAACTATTGATACCGTATTGTCGCGAAATAATGAGCAGGGGTGAAATTACGAATCTCGGCCTAAATTAAGTTTAATTTGGGCCATTATTCTAAATAACGCTCATGTCCGTTATTTTGTGACAATACGGTAATAATAACGAGTACATTCACCAGGTCTTGTAAAGCAGCTCTCTGAATGCCCCAATGACTTTTCAAATTCAAGCTTCTGATAAAATTTACTTATTTTTTAAAAAGGTGTACATGTTTTAAGAAGTGTCATTATTTACTACAAGTCATCTCATTATAGTTTCTATTAAAATAAAATTTTCTATATCAATGTTTTACGTGTATTAGTAAATTCACCATATTATTATATCGAGATTTTAATTAGTCTTTACTATATCGAGAGTTCAGTATAACCAGAGCGACTTGTATATATAAATGTACTTTACATAAAAACACGTTTTTATAAAAATAAGATCAAAATTTCACCTCTTGCTGAGACTTTAAATGTTAATAACAGGTAAATTACAAGAAGTCTCAGTCGGAGAATATCCTGTCACTAATGCAGAAATGTTGTAATTTAGTTTAGATAGCGTCATAATTTAGCTTTCTATTAGAAAAAGCATCATTCATACAATAATATATATATTATATTATGACTGTATTCAATTTTATAGGATTTTTCGTCATTTTACTCATTTTACATAATAAATATATCATGATACTAAATTTCGTCATTCAAAACTTCATATTTATATTAATAAAACCCATCACACTTCATCAAGAAAAGGTGAAATTTTTCAAGTAATACTCACCATGACCGAACAAACCCCAACAAAGTCCAGCACAAAAACCGCAAAAAGTTCTAAAGAGACCATGATGGCCGTCGAGTGGCATGGGACAACTGATGTTCGAGTTAATATGAAACGATCAAGACCTGTGATTACTGTAGGTTCAAAAAAAAAAACGACACTATTGAATAAAATATATTTGAATATATTCATTTGTTTGTTGAAAAAAAAAAGAGGCCGACTGATGCCATCGTTCGTATTACCGCAACGACAATCTGTGGATCCGATCTTCATTTGTATCATAAAGAAATTCCTCGCGTGGCGAAAGGTGACATTATGGGTTATGAAGGAATGGGCATAATTCATGAGGTATTTAGATATTAGAAAAATTTGTGAGATATACCGGATTTTACGGATTAAAATACCCTTCGTACCAAATAGTGTAAATCTCCTTGAATGCTTGTTGCATACGGATGTGACGTGTATTAATTGTGATATTTAATTTTTTGTGTGTGAAAAAAATTTGCAACACTCTGGTATTTTAATCCACAAAATACGGTATTACTATTATTTTTTTGTTTGTAATGATATATTTAAAATTTTTTGACACTGTTAAAAGGTTGGCAGACAAGTATCAAAGCATAAAATTGGCGATCGAGTAGTTATCTCATCTGTAATTGCTTGTGGGTCTTGCGATTACTGTAAAAGAGGGTTGTTTAGCTGTTGTGATGTTTCTAGCCTAAATGATTACGGTGAGAGTATAGAGAAATCGCATGGTTAGTATTATTGAATAAGTGTAAGTTTTCTCGTACAAACCGATACTAAGTTATGCAGGAAATCAAAAATTAGAATATATATGATAATTTTCTGATTTCTAATTTTGAAAATAGGTACACAAGCTGAATATGTTCGAGTTCCTTTCGCTGACATTAACCTTATTCATATCTCCGATGAAGAAAATCAACTTTTAATGGTACGTAATAATAATCTTTATAAATTATTATGTCTATCTATATATTTTACATATTAAAGTTTCGGATTGTTTATCTTATTCAGGAGAAAGTGCTTTTACTGTCTTCTGTGGCTTGTAAAGGATTGCATGCATGTGAAATGAGTAAAGTCCTTAAAGGTAAATTTGGAACTTAAACCTAATTAATTATTCTTAAATACTAATTCTTTTCTTTCAATTTTGTAGGAGATATTGTCGGAATTTGGGGTAATTAATTTTTTTAATAAATTGCAAAATTTCTCATGTCAAATCTAAAATGGTTTACTCATATAATAAATTTAAAGGTGCCGGTCCAGTGGGAATAATGTGTGCGGCATGGGCAAAATATCTCGGGGCATCTCGCGTAATTGTAATAGATTCTATTCAGAGCCGTTTACAAGTTGCTCTTAAAATTGAAGGAATTGAAATAATTAATTGTAAAGAAGATAAAGACGTCGTTGGAAAGATAAAAACCTCTGTACCTGGAGGCTTGGATGTTGCGATTGATGCTGTGGTAAAATATTTAAAAATATGAATTTCAAAAATTAAAGCCTTCTTCCAGTTGTCATTTAACTATAAATTCAAATGTTAGGGAATTAAATATGCTACAAAATCCCTTATGGGCAAGCTTGAAAAAGCCTTCTTTGCTGATACTGAGAGTTGTGACGCACTTGATGAAGCTATTTTATGCACGAAGAGAGGTACACGTCTGATAGTTTTAATACATATATAAATATACAAAAAAAAATAACGAATGTTTCTTATAGGTGGTAATATTAGCTTGATCGGTGATTATAACACGTTTACTAATCATCTTAGAATTGGTGTTATCATGGTAAATTACTTATTTATCATATTTTAACATTAAATCCAGAAGCTTATTAAAATTATTTCTACAATTTAAAGGATAAATCGCTTACCATTCGAGGAGGCAAATCTCACAGTCGAAATTATCGGTAATTAAAATTCATTTAATACTAATGTTAAGATTATATTAAATTAATATTACGTGTTTAATATTATTAAAAACAGAGATATAATCCTACCAATCATGTGTGAAAACAAAATATTTACAGATATTTTTACTCATTACATGAGCCTGTCTGAAGCACCAAAAGCTTACAAAAAATTGGATAAAAAAGAAGATGGGTTTATCAAAATATTTCTAACTGTCGATGAAAAAGAATTTTCTCATCCCAATGCCAGTTTCGCGGGTGGAAGTAAAATCAGTACGGTTGCCGAAACTGCAAGTAAAAGTAAAACCGATGAAATTGTTAAGGTAGATAATGAAAGTAGTCCCTGTGTAGTTTCTGGATCCATGAGTAATGCAAAGATAGTTATGACCGTTCCTGGTTTATCTGCTGAACCCATTGAACGTGTATCGAGTGAACCTGTTCGTCGTTCATCTCTTGAAAGCAATGGATTAATTCAAGATACTGGATCTGTGAAATCTCTCGGTGAGACTGGAAGTAAGAAGGAAGAAATTCCCAGAACGTCACAAAGCATTAAAAATGATATTACTCGCAATGAGTTTCATGAAGATAGATCACATAAAAAAGACAAAGTTAAGAACAAGTAGATTTTTGGGTTCTGGATGATTGTATTAACTATGCTTGTAGTAGTAAAATTAGCAATCATTTAAATTAACAGATTAAAGCATAAAATATGTTAGCGTTAGTGCTGTATTTTGGATATTTTAAATAAATTATCATTTATTTATAACAATAAATTCTTGAGAAACATCTCATTCGTTAAGCCGCCAAACTGTATTTTATTATCAGTCAGAAGATATGTCACAAAATTTATAAATGCCGTTTAGCGCTACATAAAATACCCCGAATCTTATTTAAAACCCTCATTTTAAAATTAAGGATACTTTGTATATAACCGAGTATTATGTTTGAGATACGTAATAAAAATATCCTGAGCTGTTGGGTATTAGCGGAAACGAAGTTTCCGCTTGTGTACGTACGGATCAGTGTATTTTTGAACGCCTGTAGACCTCTCTCAAAAAATTATTAATCAAAGTTCTTCCTAAAGTGACTTAATCCTAACTCTAAAGAACTCATTACACCTGATTTTTCGATCTAATTGGGAGAACTATCAACTATGTATTTTTGCTAAAATACTCGTGATCTTGATATGGTGATCGGGGTATTTGTTTGTATATGCAGTATCATCACTTCTAATACATCATATTTTTTTTATTTTTTTTAAGGTGACCTCTTGGTTTTTTGACTTTATTAACACTTTTTGGGTAATGTAATTCCTTGTTGGAACTACTACATGAAGAGTATACAACTGGTTACACATATAACTTTTCTATATTATCTATTTAAGAAGTCTGTTTAAAGGTTTCTCATCATTTGCTGTACCTAACATCTCTGCTTAGGTGTTTCATTTTAAACATTCTAAACCTGCATTATATATTAATTTCATCAAGTCATTTCAGATTCTCATCTCAAATTTAGAACTAATTTATTTTTGAGATAAACCTTTCAGAGTCTTCTGTATTTCTAGTTATAGTTAATTCAATATTATTATAGTTGAACCAACATTTGTAGTTAGATTAATCATTTAACTGTTATATTATTATAGAGTTCATATAACCTTAATACCTTTTTTTACAACTTTACTGGTATTTTATATATCCTTACAAGTCTTTCTATATCACCAATCCAATAAGTTCTATATAATATAATTTTATAATTAGATTAACCAATAGTCAGTTTGGTAGATTTTTTTATTTAGAGATTTTTGTCTATACAAGTCATCTGTTTAAAATTTACTTCTTCAGATTAAGATTTTTATAAATAGTATTGTCAAAGATTATATTATTCTTTTACTCAGAATTTTCAAACAGAATTTTTTATAGAGTATATATTTCTCAGATTTATTTGTATAATATTATATATTCTTAAAGCTAATTTTGGTACAACTGAAATTATAGGATTCAATTTTAAATACCTTATTCAAATTACTAAAATAGGATTATTTTTAAATTTTATTACTAGTAAGATTTGAATTCTGAATCTACTGTTTAGAAAATGACAACCCAACCATTATACTAAAATTATTATTCTCATATATTATATTTTATAAAATAAATTAAAAAATTATTAATAATATTAAATCTAATAACTATTATTTTAACCTATATTTTTAGAATTATATATATTATAATATTAAAAATTTTTTTTTTTGCTTTTACTAAGGAAATTAGTTATTGGCAGCTACTGCCTTTATTGTGAATTCAATTATGATTACATAACTTGTACAAAGTTACTCCTATACTATACTAGCAGATAGCATACAAGTTCCTATATACTGTTACAGACAAAATGGGTACCAGAGTTGCTCTAACCCAGTGCCATCTCGACCCATGCCCCCTTATAGTAAGAATGCCCCTGAAACAAGCAAACGATTGTGCATCAATTGTATCTCGAGAAACTTAGAAGCCAAGCCACCAATGCTGTAATGATGCAGAATCAGGTACTATAGTCATTTG